TTTTTTTTTTGTTGGTTTGGGGAGGGGGGGGGGGCACCTTGCTCATGATGTTTTAAACGTAGACCATGTTTTTCAAACAAAAAAGGAATGCTGCTTTACCGGGACTGGGTGGGGGGGTGGGGGGGAATAGTTGGGGGTGAGGATGATGGGATTTGGCTTTGAAGTTACACTAAAACCATCACTCCTCATTTTTACTATTTTTTATTTTAATTTTTAAATTTTTTTTTGTTTCTTGCGGTGATATTGATAACCTGGTATTTTTATCATATTAATAATGTAAACTAATGTATTCACCTAGACTTATTGAATAAAGTAGGAACATGTATATTTGGCTAACACTCGAGAATGCGTTAAACTGTATAATAATGATCATTATTATTATTATTATTAATATTATTTTTATTATTATTATTATTATTATTATGGCGTCCACTCTTCTTGATCATTTCTTTCCTTTTTCCCGTCCTCTCTCTCTCTCTCTCTCTCTCTATGTCTCTCTGTCTCTCTCTCGTCTTTTTTTGTATAAGTTAAAAAGGAACAAACGCGTGATGGCTGCTGTATATGTTTCCCCAACAACAGTGAACGTTAACAATAAATACGTTGAAGTGTGAGAGCCGTTGCTGAAGACGTAATTTTTGTTGTTTTTTAAACAGACATCTGCTGTGAAGTGCATTTTCATTATGCGGTGATTGAGACCAAATTGAGGTGGAAAGCAGGGTCGATGAGGGAGGCAGCTTTGTTCACATGACATGTTGGAGGGCTGCCTTTCATGGAGCACGACTGGGGGAGACTGGGGGAGACTGGGGGAGACCGTGGCCGGCCCACTGCCCTGTTTAGGAACATTCACTTTACCGTTTTTGTTTTGGTTTTTGTTTTGTTTTCATTCAGTTCCGATCAGATTTCAGATTTAATTTTTACTGCGAATTTTGTTAAATATAAAAATAATCACCTGGTTTCATTATATTCATCACTTTAAAGCAAGAACGTGAATTATTATTATTAGTAGCAGTATCGGTATTATTATTGTTAATATCATCACCGTGTTTCTACATTTAACGAATTCAACATTAAAAAATTCAAATATATAAATATACATTAAAACACATAAAGGTTAGAATTTTAATTTGTTTGGGTTTTTTGTTGTTAATTTTACTTTTTTTTTTGTCCAACACGCAGCGTCACGTCGCTCGTTGACACGATCCATATCCACGAAAACTCAAATGTTATGACTGGGATTTAATCTTTTCCTCAGTAAGTTTGTGCTTTTCACAGTTAGATCACGTGATTTTATTTTTATTTTTGGACAATTGCGTTTGTATTTTGTGTATTATTAACTTTATACGCGTTGATAATTCACATTTAAATAACGTTAATGGAAAAATATAAAATTCAGACTCAGAGTCACGACACAATTTAATTATTATAAAACACACACACACACTGAGGACTCTATTTGTTAATTTGTTTTAATTTTTTTTTTTTTTTGCAGCTCATCCAGAGCCTTATTTGTAACAACAACCTGTTGACATTACATTTTTATTTTTACTTCACTTTAGTAAAAAATCTAAGACACATTTGAACTTCATCTTCAGTTTAAGGCTTGAATTTTTTTTTTTTTTTTACATTTTTAACAATTTTAATGCTAAAAATTAAACTGAATAAGAAAATTAAAACACACACACACACACACACACGCTGCAGCAGCCTCTCCTTCTGATCCATTTCTTCAGGGCCTGGATGATTTGTGTGAAGGTCATCACTCACTCACTCTGTCGCCGCCGCTTCACAACCTTTTACGGCGACGGTTCAATTTCCTGTGGACATTTGAAGGTGTTTGTAAATCACTTCTCAATCCTCCCTGGATGATGATGATGATGATGACGATGATGATGATGATGACGATGTTGATGATGATGGCTATCAGTGAGTCTCAGTGGAGACCTTGGAGAGCCACAATTTGGCGGCCCTTCACATACCTGACAGCTGTATGTATATGTGCCGTCATGGCCGCGCAGCCAATGAGCACGTGACGTTTCTGTAACTGTAACAGCGACACCTCCCTGGGACGGAGAGTGTGACGACAGCAGTAAATATATATATATATATATATATATATATTACTGATGCTGCAAGAAGTTTCTGGAAGGTTCTGTAGACGCCGTCACGGGAGCGGCTGATGGTGGCGCACTAACCTGTTGCTTCTCCCGGTTTATTGTTGGTCCCTTCCGGTGACCGTAAAAAAACCTGAGAGCGGCCGTAAACTGTGATGTGTTGTCGTTATATCAGTCTGGGGAAAAGAAAGAAAAAAAAGTTTTGATGTCTGTTTGCAGATGCTGCTGTTTATTGTTTTTGGTTGGTTTTTT